TATGTGAGAGAAATGGATACCGTTATGAACACTGCATTATGTACCAAATCTCATTACTTTGTGGTAGTTACTCCTTACAAGACAACTCAGTGGGCATGTGTGTGCAACCTTTGTTCTATCCTAGTTTTAGTTACTCCACTCACAATTGTATGTAATTAATGGGACTTTAATTTATATAAAAGTTTGTAAAGAAATTTCTTTTAAGTCACTTTCCTTCAAAAAATCCTTCTAACCAGACAGTAATTTTTTTAGATAATTATACGAACATTTTCATAAGCAACTTCCGAGCCTCGTAAATAATTTTTGAATTTTCGAACATCCTATAAGACAAACCCTAAATACATTTGAACTTGAAATTCTCAAATTCTGTTTTTCTTTTCCTCTACCTGGGTATTTATTAATTGCTATTTGGCATAGAGTCTTATTTAGCCCCATTTTAGTAAAAAAAAAAAAAATCTATACCGAAATAGTAATTTTTTAGAAAATGTGTGGTAAAAAAAGAAGGAATAATTTTCGATTTACGTATTAAATTATTTTATGGGAGAATATGTAGTTAAAAATGAATTTTAGAAAAATAGAACCAAACATAGGCTTATTAGTTATTACTACTAACTAACTCATCACATTTATTTGACCAAACATCTTAAATATGAATTTCATTTAACTAAATGGTTCATATTATTACAATAAAGTTGTATATCTATTGTTTCAATAATATGATCGAGCCGAAAAATCCGTTTGGCCCCCATTATTTCAAACTATAATGGGTGAAATAATATTGTTTTTGGCTATTGAATGGTTGAAAAAAAAAAATTCAATTTACGTGTAATATTATTTTATGAAGATTGTCTGATTAAAAATAAAAGAGAGAAAAATAAAATTTAATTTTTAACGACGGCCATACAAGATAAAGATAGTGGTCACTTCAAAATTCTAGAATCGACAAATTAACATTCAATATCTACTCAACACGTACACCCTGTTTATGAAGCAACTCATAATTTTACCAAAAAAAGAAAAAAAGGAGGATTGGTCACAATCTTGTTTTTATCACCACAAACAAATTAGTTGTCAATTAGATAATAGAAGTTTCTAGTTTATAAAACATTTTGTCTCTTGCTTGAGCAGGATTTGAATCACTAAAAAAGTCTGAAATTAGGGTCCCGATTGGGAGAGATTCTGAGAATTGATTTTTTGACCATTGGAAGAAAAGCAGGGTTCACCCGTGAGAGAAGAAGTCAAAAATTACGGCTGGAATAATGAAATAACGATCAAAAAATCAATTTTTTGGGATAAAAAATCCCTCACAAACACACGCTAGGATTCAAGAGAAATTTATTTTTTCTTTTTTAAAATAGAGCATGTGCTTGTCTTTTTATATTTGGAGAAGTAAACGCACACTATATTTATAATTTATAATGATTGCATTTAATAAAATTACAAATTTAAATACTCCACTACTTAATTTATTCATAGTATAGTTTAGATATTGACATCTCAATTCGAAAAGTGTTAAAAAAAAATACTATTTAAATTTAAATTTGCTCTTTATTGTGATCAAAATAATATCTAAAAAGTAAAGAGTCAATGAAGATATATTGCAATAACGTAAAATATATTTTGAAGGTAGTTTTTTGGTACTAATTGATTGGCTACTTAAATGAATTAACACTTGGCCCAATTATTGATATATTGCAAGTGTGAACGGATTGAAACACAAGGCTTCACCTTCACCTAAATGAAATTAATTTGACTTTAATTTTCTATTCATTTCTTGTAGTTGCTAAGCCCTTGTTTGAATCCCATTTAAGGGAAAAATATATTTTTGAATCTTGATTTTTTGGAGAACGTGTAGTTAAAAAGTAAGAGAAAATTTTCAATTTACGTATAAAATTATTTTATTGAAAAATATATGATTGAAAATGAATTTTAAAAAAAATATGACTCAAACAAGGGTAACTCTCATTTTGACAAATTTATAAATGATTTATAAAAAGAATAGAGGGTAGTATTAGATTTCGTAAAATGTATAAATAATATATTGTGAAGATTAATATTTAAGTTTAATTAAATATAAAAATATTTACAAATTTGTTTTGCAGACAAATGCTAACTTTTTCTATTCTTATTAATTTCTTCGATTAGAAAAGATAAAGGATTAGTAAAGCAGTTGATGAGATACTTATCCCATATAAATCCAAATTATTAGTTAAAACAACTAATCTTTTGTTAGTCTTGCACCATCCAATTCAACCTCATATCAAATCAAACGTGGCCATAATATTCACCAAGTATACCATTTATGAGTCTTGCAATTACCATACATACATATGCAAGGCATGCATGCATGTCTACAAGTGTTTATGCGTGTGATCTTAGCCACTGCTTGGTACGAATTAAAACTTAGATTCTAATTCAAGTCAAAATTAATAATTAATTTTAATCACATATTTATGAGATCTACAAATTTTCAACCTCACGTTATATCAACTTTATCAAATAATAAAAATATGATTTCAGCCCTGTTTCCTGGCTTTTTTTTCTTTTTTTTTTTAATTGGGAAAACTTGTTTTTAATAATATTTTTTTTTGGAGAATGTATAGTTAAGAACATTTTATTGTGTAAATATATGATTAAAAATATGAAAAAATAAGAAACAAAGAGGGCTTAATCTTCACCAAACAAGGACTAAAGAGAGTTGTACAACTACCCGTCTAACCGTTGAACAAGTTCAAAATTGGAGTAGAAGCATGTCCCACCATGGAACATACTAGATAGGGTTGCGCTGCTTGCACAACCCCGCGGACAACCAGGGGGTTATGTGGCACCCGCAGTTGTTCAAGCAGTATAATTCTGCTAGACGACCTATGGGCCAAATATATTATTTGTTAATGAGAAAATTAGGCAAAATCTTAGTTTTAAAATTTAGTTGTCATTAAGAATGTTCTTAAAAAGTCATGGGTTTATTATATAAGAGAAATAATTCTTGTACACATCAAGGTGTACATAAGGGTCACAAATGGCAATGAGGTGAGTTCGGAGCTGATGGCTCGCCCCCCGTCAGGCAATTTTTCATCCCTTACCCACCCCATTAGCCATTTAAGTTGGGGCGGGAACGAGCCCTTGCTCCGATTATGTACTCGTTTAATTTATTTATTTTTAAGATTTTAATAATTCATTTTATTGTCCATATTCTTTAAAATGAAACAATAATATAGTTATAAATTTTTTGAATTAATTTATTTATTTTTAAAAGTTAAATTATTCAAATATATTTGGTAAACTATGATTTTTATTGTTGATCATATTTCTTAGATAATTTTAGCTGTCATCTTTTATTAAAATTAATGAAATTTCGTGAGATTTTTTCATTTAAAGTATTGAATTCTTAAATATAAATAAATAAAATTAATCTTGGGTGGGCCCCTGTTACCCGTACTCGCCCCGATGACGAAATTTTCTGCCCCCTACTCGACCCGAATACTCGATTAAGCAGGTAATCCCCATCCCATTTATGGCGGGATCACATGGGCATCTAGTTTGACGAATTCTTTTATCATCCCCGACAAGGGTTTACACCCACTCAAATGGACAGGGGTTCACGTGAGAGGGGTATGAACCCGTATGTACACCGTTATGTACGTGTAGCATCACTTAAACTCCCGTTTGGCTCTTATTTTCTGAAATGAAAATGGGTGAATAGTGTTTTTTTTTTTTTGAAAAATGAGTGATTGAAAAAGGACAAATTTTCGATTTACGTGTAATATTATTTTATGGAAGATTATGTAGTTAAAAATATGAAAGAGAAAAATAAAATGAAATTTAATGGTGAACAAACGAGAGCTAAATGTGTATTTCTTAAAACTATATTATCAAGTAATATAGATTTAGCAAGTAATCATGAATTTGAAGGTTAAATATCTTCTTTAACGGAATTTAAATTCACAAAATTTGAAGATAGAAAATCATATTCAATGTTTTCGTTCTCATATTGTAAATGAAGCCTTTAGTCTTGAAATCAGGCTATAATTTTTAAAAAGACACGTTTTAGGTCACATTTATAGAGATATGAATCCATAAAATAGTGTCATAGATACACAACTTTATAAGTTTTAATCACACGCGTAGTATATTGCAGTCGCATAACATATTACAAATATTTTAGATCACCACAACACAACTTTATAGGTCACATTCATACAATGTTATGACAATCTTTACACAAATGACATTTTTTTCAAAGACACGTCTTAAGTCACATTCATAAATTGCATATGCGTAGTGTAACT